ATATTTTTCACATGACAAAACATTGAACTAAAAAGAAAAGAAAAGAAAATCGTACTATAAATAAACAAAACTTGTGTTTTGCGACCGGCACAGTATTCCATTTCATGTACCCAAATTCATGTAGGTAAAAAAAAATAAACAAAATAAAAAAAAAGATTTTGGACACAGTGGAGAACAACTGACATTCTACAAATAACGTGTGGAAGCAATCAGCTCATGTAGAAGAAGTGGACTTCTATCTTAAAAAAAAGAAAAGAACTAAAAAATTGCCATATTTTCTTTCTTTGAAAAGGCATAATTTAGTAAATGTGGTGTAAATCTGGTGCTCTGTGTGCCTCTGCCCTGCTGCAGCCCCGCCCTGCTCACCTGTCTCCTCCAGGTGTTTCTTGTTGTCCTTAATTAGTTTGCTTTATATTCTGTGTTGTGCTGTTTTCAGCCAGCGGTGTGTGTTCCGTGTTCCTCCTGACAGGTGTTTGTAAGTTTTCAGCTGCCTGTCAGCCTTTTTGTTTATCATTAAAGCTTCTTGTTGTGTTTTTGGATTGTTGCCTGCACACATCCTCACACAGATCTGAGATGAAACGGGTGAAACTGGAGTGTGAGCAGCGTCTCTGTAGACTGGTTCCAGTACAAGTTATTCCTCACATATCCCTATGTCTGAATGAAGGGAGGCCCTGGACGTTTGTTCTAGTCTCATTAGTTCTGTAGGATATTATCAGGTCACACATTAGAGCTCTGCTGGAATTAATTTCATTACATTTTTGAAACTTACAGAAAAAGCCTGAAGTAAAACTGATTTGTGTTGAGCCCTGTAGTAATTTCTGAATTGTTAGAAGGAAATAAGTGAGTGTGGGATGTGCTGTGTGTGTGTGTTGTGACTCACACAGCAGTGATTCCTCCTCAGTCTTCATGCTGACTTGCTGAACATTTGTTCAGCAGGAATGAAACCCTGCTTTGTTCTCCTCACCTCCTCGTCTTCCTCTGTCACCGTCTCACCACTCTGAGGAGTCTTTGTGTGTTTGTTGAGCCCAGCAGAGTGCTGTCAGTCTGTCAGTGTCCTGGTCCAGAGGGACCGGGGACACCAGGCGTCACTCTGTTCTGTTCAGGAACTCTTTACTTTCACAAGGATCTTAGGAGACAGATGTGTAAAACTGTTTCCCTCTGACTGTTCCTTTCTTGTTTCAGTTCTAGAGGACGATGAAGATGACTTTCCCAACACTCGCACAGGAGAGTTTCTACACAACAACAACGGTAGCAAAGAAAAATGTGAGTATTGCATAACCCACCCCTGAATACCCCCGAATGTTTGCTTTTATATTCCTAAATAATACTGTTGTAAAAACATACAAAGTATCAGTGAGAGGGCAACAAAACAAAGGTATCTTGTTGTGTTATATTATTGTAAATATATTTTAGTTTAAGTACCGTATTTATTTGTGTATAATACGTAAAATTTAATCTATAAAATCATCCATAAAGTTGGGGGGTAGTACTATATTCGGATAAATATTTTTACTTATGTAATTTAAGTGAAATATCGGCTTCATTCACAAAATATCTGAGTCAGGAAATGAGACCATGTTGTAAAAACCAGTTGAAACGAGCTCACCTCTGACACTCCTCCGTTCTTCAGAGCGAGATAATAACAGATCCAGGCAGGAGACATGATGTGAAAAAGTATTCCTGCAGCTCAGTAATGATAACAAACTAATGACATTAGTGTGTGACTGGGCCGCTCCTCGAACAACAACAAACACATGTTCGTCTGTAATGGCTGCCTTCTACCAGTGTTCTGAAAAAGTTTGTATCCCTGGAAAAAGTTTCCCCACCAGCAGGAAGTAATCTGCTTTTCCCCCACAAGATGGTCCAAATCTCATGTGAAGTCTCTGACTTTTGTGTTGTCGCCTCCTGGTGGACTATGTGTAAAATGCCAGAATTCATATGATGCTGCTACAGCTGATACATATTTGTTGTCAAAATACCTTTTAGTACATATGTTGTTAAAATAAAATGAACAGTCCAATGATCATTTTACCGCTATGTATAAAGACTGCAAAGGCTGAAAAATGAGATCGTATCATACAGGAATAAATACGGTATGTCTCATTATTTGAATTGTGTTTTATTGTGAACCCGTCTGGTCCTGTCAGTTAATGCTTGTGATATTATTACTAAAAAGTCTAAATAAAATATATTAAAATAAAGTATCAAATGATGAACTGTTGTTCTTGATCACTGAAATAAGAAGTTTGGTTTGTCAGACCCTTACCTGCAGTCAGAGACCCAGTTACTCAGTCTGGTATCTTCTGCGGAGTCAAAGTAACTATTATTCAGAACAGCTTTCTTTCAAGATATTACTGCTGTTTTACACATTGTTTTCCTTCAAGAAAACAGTTGATTACTTTATTTCCATGTCCTCAAACCATACCCACATAGCTGGAAATGGTTGTGTGGATGAAGGCTGCTCAGTATATCCTGTCACCTGTTTTGTTTGTTTAAATATAAAAAGAAAAGCTCCTCCTCAGAGTTTGTCCCTCATGAAAGCACTCTTCTATATCTCCTACACCATCCTGATGTTTACTGCTCTGCCTGTTTAAAACAGAATCAGGTAGTTATGGTTGATCAGCTGAGTGTCAGTCCTGCAGGCTTATGTCTAAAACAACAACTGGAGTACTCTGAAATAAAACAGGTTTATTGCTATTCACGCTTCAAACTGGGCAGTATTTTGGTTTGGTTTTTATTTTAGTTATGAATTTTCAGAGTTTAAAACCTGCTGGCTGGAGATTTCATCACAAAAAACAAAACAACTCTGAAAGTAGAATACACTTCTCAAAAACAACAGAATAATCCCTTTCCTTAACAGATTTAATCCAACATGTCAGCCACTTGATGTATGTATTTCTCCTTGCTGGTCTTAGTTGTAGTTTCTCTGCTGTTCTCTTACAGTTTTCCAGTCCTCAGGTCTGAAGGACATGAATGGTATAGACTTTAAAGGTGAAGCCATCACATTTAAGGCCACCACAGCTGGGATCTTAGCTACTCTGTCCCACTGCATGGATCTGATGGTGAAGACCGAGGACAGCTGGCAGAGACGCCTGGACCAGGTCTGCAGTCATGTTCAAGTTGTCGTAATTCATAGCTTCAGATGATACTACACACAGTCAACACAACTCATGCAGATGATACTACACACAGTCAACACAACTCATTCAGATGATACTACACAGTCAACACAACTCATTCAGATGGTACTACACAGTCAACACAACTCATTCAGATGGTACTACACAGTCAGCACAGCTCATTCAGATGATACTACACACAGTCAACACAACTCATACACTGCAAAAACTGTCCATCTTACCAAGTTTTAAAA